AAAAAAAAAAAAAAAAAAAAAGAAAGAAACACGAGAATGGGCCTCTACATAGAGATTAGAATGGTTTTCATTCAGGCTACCTTTAGGATCTACTCTAACTTTATGACATCTGCACAGAGCCTTTTTCTAAATAAGGTCCCATTCACAGGTGCCTGGTGGACAAATCTTGTGAGGGGCCACCGTTCAAATACTACACAGTGTATTCATTTATTGACCCATTTCCCCAAAACTCTTTGAGCACTAACATTCAAAGGAATTGTGGGAAGTATAAAGATGAACTGGACAGAGATCCTGCCCTCAGGAGTTTACAGCCTAGAAAGGGAGGCAAAGCATACCCTTTTATAGCTTGACAGAAAATGGTGAGAAATACAATAAGATTGGAGCTTAGAGAAGTGAGATATAGATACATCAGCTCAGGCTGGGGAGCAACGAGGAGAGGGGGATACCTCATGGCAGACCCATCAATTGAACTGGATCTCTAGAGACAGGAAGACATTAAACATATGGGGATGGGGCATTTGGGGTAGAAAAACCAGCATCAGGAAGGTTTGGAGGTGGGAAACAATGGATGTGGACTGTCAATGTTAAGAAATTCAGATTGCCTGAATGAAGCACAGGTGAGTGAAAGGTAGAAATGAGAGGTAAAGGTAGAGAGGCTGTCTGGGCACGAATGGGTGGTCTTGAATAGGCTTTAGCCAGTGAAGATAACACAGGGCTTTGAACATGAGTGTGATGGGATAAAATCTTTGATCTGTGAAGATAATATTTTTGTTTTTCATAAATAATAAAAATTATTTTAAGCTAAAGACATTTAAGATTCAACAGATGCAGAAAGAAGATCTCTTGGGGCTTTTCTTATCTGACAATAAGCAAAAGCTTCAGTGAAACGAGGATCACCATAAATTCCTTCTCTGGGGCCGGTCTGTTCCCTTCAAAGAGTGAGACCAAAGGTAAACCTACTTCCTGTAAATCCTGTCTGTGGGGGAGTTTTATGGCCCTGAAGAAGATAGAAAGACTACACTCAAACATCATCATAAACTTTCTCTCCTGTTTGTTGTCCTGGAACCCCATTTGTCTTTCCTAAAGAAACCTATTTGTTCTTTCCATAGAAGCTTTTCTCTCCTTTCCTTTTCTCATGCTAAGTTAGGTATTTCAGCCCCCAATTCTCACCGGTCCTTTGAGTAACTCATCACTGAGCCCTCCCACGGTGTGTGCCCTGGGTGTGTAAATAACATCATGCCTCTCTTGCTGATCTGTCTTTTGTTAGTTTAATTTGCAGCCCCCAGGTACCTAATATAGGGAGTAGGAAAAGTTATTTTTACCTAAGAATTTATAATATAGGTTGTATATATGAATTAAAATGGAGAGAGAGACTTAAGATGGGGAGATTGACCCAGGCATAATTAGCAGGAAAGAAAATAAGAGATGAGTATGTATTTTGGAGAGATTGTAGAAGCAGAATCATAATGATTTTGTTAAAAAAAAAAAATGGGAGAGGGGATAGTCAACTAGTCAAAGATGACTCTGAAGTTCTGAGCCTGGATGACTGGGCCTATGACGGTGCCATTAACAGAAACAGGAAATACACTAAGGATAAAGACTGTAAGCACATAGAATAGTTACTGGGTCCTGTCTGAAGCCTGGCAGAGAGGTGGAGATGTAGATTTGGGATGAATTGGATTGAGTGAGCTTTAAAACAGAAGGTGGAGAGAACCAAGGGAAAGTGAAGGCAAGGAAGGGGGGGGAGTTGGAAGTGATTTGGGGCAGAAGGAGGAAAAGGGGTCTGCCAAGGAGGTAATCAAAGGTGGCAGGGATCAAAGGGGAAGGTGCTGTGTCAGAGTGTCTGAGGGGCTGAGATAAAAGAGAGGGTCTTTCTTGGTATAAAATGCTGTAGAAAGGTAGATGAGGGCCTGGAATACTCCACAAGAAGTATTAGTCCATCAAGTGGGCTGGAAAGAAGGTGTAGTCCATGAAGAAAGCAGTGGCAGGAGAGAGAGGTTGAAGAGCAGAGCTGAATTCGGGTGTTAGAGAAGTAGAGGCAACATGTGCTTACTACCCCGTCAGGAAATCTTGTTGTGAAGGGAAAGAGGAACAAATACCAGTGACTTAAGGGTTATCCGAGTTTCTCACCCACTTTGGGATTTTTATTGATTCCCCAAATTTAAAACATCAGCTCAATGCTAGCTGTATCTCTATGATACCCAATGACAGAACCAGTTCTTGGGGGAACAAGTAGGGAATTAAACTATTAAGAGACATCTTTCTTTCTTTTATTCCATGTTTACATATCCACCTCTGTCATTAAGTCACAACATTTTATCAAAATATACAAACAGCACAGATACTTAAAAATGTATAGTTAGAATTCTAATTAAACAAGATCGACTGCTACAATTAGCATGCATGGGTCTTTTATCTTGAGTGATGCCTAAAGAGAGACTTATGAGTCATCAATTCATCAGTAATGGTATAAGGGACAGTTTTATTTTTCTCTTGAAAGAATTATACACTCATTTCTTTACTTGTTATAATAAATGTGAAGATGGTATTGGGTGGGTGACTGCCATTGTACTGATATCAACTGAGAATGGATGGATAGAAAGGTTTTATTGGCAGGAGTACCATGATTCTATCTTTGTTGAACTCTAAATTTAATATGTATGTTGACAAGATCACCAGAGTGGGTATTCTATTAAAACCTTCCATATCAGTGACATGAACTCTTCCTACTTTCCATTTTCCTCTTTCCTGTGAATTTCATGGTTAATCAGAATGATGGATTTATAGATCTCAAGTTACAAAGCTATGTTTATTGTGAAGGACTCCTATTCAGGGCTTCCTCCCCCCTACCATTCACACTTCCACAGATGTACACAGAAAAAAATGGGTTAGTGGTTACTTGTCTGCAGCTTAAATGAAACCCATTACTACACCAGGCAACATGCTGTTTCAGTCTTGAGATGCTTGCTCTCACTTTGTTCCTTGAGTCACCAAGTGTTTCATTGATCAGCAGTTGGTGCACAAGTGAAGAGCCACCATTAGAGCAGAATTAAGTTTCCAAATTTTTCACAGTGTGAAGAACCATCTTTCAAGTAAATAACTATGGTTAGTCATGACCTAACTTCAAGAGTGGCTGTGAAAGATGACAAGAGAAACCAAAGGCATTGTCATTAGTGAAGATGAGTTGGTTTCTGCTACAGATGCAAAGTCAGTGAGGAGCTGAAAGGCCTCAGCCTTTATTGTTGAGTGTTTCTTTTCTTTCCCAAGTTGAAAAGGAACCCAAGGAGTTTCACTCGAACCAGTTCACAGAGAGAAGGCAAATTCCTTCTGTGTCTAGAGTGGGGATTCAGGATATCAGCATCTCCATCCCAGGGTTAATGAAGGAAAAGTTTCTGAACATGTTCTGGTCCATACTGTTGATCAGTGCTCTGTCGGCGAATGACAGCCGGGGTTTCTCATTTAAGAATTCCTTGTCAAAATTGCTGCAGTCATATGGTGATTTCTTGATCAGAGTTTAAGGGGAGAAAAAAGGGAAGAAAATCAGCCACTGAATTAATTATCTGTACTTTTGTTATCGAGGCTATAATTTGTGTATGACAGCACTGGTGTTTGCAGACAAACTAAACTGAAGTAATACTTACAGATGATCATATGTGGTTTTTGTTGAACATCTCTAATATCCTGACTCATCAATTTATCAATAGTATAATTAAATTCATATAAAAGAATTCCATAAACATTCAAATAGGATTTAATGTTTCTTGCTAATAGTTTATACATGAAGCAGAACTGGCAACCTTTGGAAAAGTGATGAGCCCATATTCGACCTGTCCTTTTAGTCGGCAGGGAATAGTGGGTAGGTGGTGGGGCTGGGGG